GTATTATATTCCAGTCTAATGGGGTATATACATTATATATTCTAGTGTAAATAATGTATATGTCATATTTTCTAGTGTATTTTATGTATATATCACACTAAATGGGGTATGTATTTTAGTCTTTATCAAATATTCTAGTGTAAGCAGGCTATATATTATATACCGTTGACTAAATGGGCTATGTACCATATATTTTAGTGTTTTGGAGGTGTGTGTTTGAAATATTCTAGTGTAAATAGGGTATATATTAATATGTATTCTTGCCTTAATCAGCTATAAATATTTTAGTGTATTTCAGGTATATTTCAAATATTGGTTAAAATTATGTAAATATCATATTCTAGTGTACATGAGGTATGTATCACATATTGCACATTAAATAGGCCATATATTTCAGCATATATTGAATATTCTGGTGCAAACGGTACACATTATATATTAATTAAATGTGCTTTATACTATATAGTTTAGTGTTTTTGAGGTATATATCAACTATCATGTATTAATTCAATATATCATGTATTCTTGCTTTATCAGAGATTAGCGTATTCATGGTATATCCTCAAATCTGGCCCACGAGATCCACTTTCCTGCAGAGTTTAGCTCTAACCATTAGCAAGCTAATCAATGTCTTCAGGATCATTAGAAAATCACGGGTAGGTGAGTTTGATCAGGGTTGGAGCTAAACTCTGCAGCACATTGGCGCTCCAGGCCAAGATTTGAGGAACCCTGGTCTGTCCATGTATCCCTTGTAAGGAAAGTCATTTTATTTGGCGGCCACCTTAGTAGTGCCCACCATTCATGCAAGTACAGCTTCTATATATTATGACTAAGGAAAGACTGAAATCTGTTTATCGATGTGCCATTTAAATAACATATTTCATATCAGTAATAAAATCTGACAACAATGACATAATAGTATATTTAGTGTAAAATATAGTGAAAAAGGGATATATGTCATACATTGTAGTGTATATATCACATGATGTGGACTAAATTGACTATATTTCACACTAAAATTCTAGACAAAACTGTTATTTATCAAATATTTTAGTGTAAATGATATATATATTGTTGAAAGTATATATCATATATATATATATATATTACTTTATCTGATGTATAATTATATAACTTAGGGTGTGATATATAAGGTTCTGTAGCATACACAATAGTGTGTTTTATATGTCATATTCTAGTATATTGTATTTAAGGTATATATCATGTTCAAGTGTACATCATATTCATATTCTAGTGTAAGTGGGGTGTTTATATTTAATATAGCTTATGTTTCAAGTCAAAGTGATCTGTAGATGAAGTTCAGTTCCCCTTGATGAAGAAGTTGGTGGAAATTGGCAAATTAGGTCACTATGCACTTTATTTTATGAGTAGCCAGTTGTTTTAGTCTGAGGTTCATTGGCACACATTTATAAAACTTAATAACATCCAGCTACTAGAAAAGTTTCTAATCAAGGTTTTAAAAATATAAAAGTGAACTCTGAATATCTAAGGATTCGAACCCTGAGGTTTCACAAATGTTCATTTCTGTTAAATCTACATCCAATAATTTACTATTAGTTCACTGTAAACATAATACTACTCTTTATAGAAGCATTTGTGTTATGAGTGCTGCCGATACAGTCATTCCGAAAGAACTGAATGAAACATTAGTAATATTAGTCTGGAGTCTTGAATCTGGCTGTGTTTTGTGCTTATCTGTCTCCAGCCTTTAAACGAACCCACACACACAGTTTAGGCTCAAGACTGCGGTATTTCTCTTTCAGTTGTTCTTGGGTGGTCAGAGCTGACAGACATGCTACACATGCTGCTGATGGATTATAACCACACACACACACCTCACAGTACAGTGCACAGTCTACACACACCCACACGCTTCTGTGTTTGTAACTAACTTTGACAGGTGAAATAGTTAACGGACTACAGTCACGCTTTAGAGTGAACTATATTAAACATCAAACGCTGCACGCATGAAATATTCACACACATGTTGTGCAGTGCAGGTTTTGACATAAAGGTTGCCTGCTACCTCTTGTTAGTTTTTAGAGGCCACGTGGAGGGATGGATCATAGACGGATGCAACATTTGGATAAGTAATGTAGGCTGCAACCCTGAAAATATTAAGAATGCAAATGCATAATGCAGTTTTTTTCCTTACATATAGCATCCATTACCCTTCGATCTGCAGATGCCCTCTATTTATTTATATAGTTTTGTAAAGACCGCTGCTTTATGTTTTTATTTATTTCCTTGGTTCTCCTGTAGCTGCAGCTTTTATCTTCTTTATGCTTAATTTCCCAGACTTCATACGACAGACTTTAATATTTTATTTATTTTTCGCAAGTGACACGTTTCCTTTGAAAATGGTAAGTAGTGTGAACGTTTTCCTGGTAATGGCAAGAGATCGGCTCTTTTTGAGTGAATGTAAATATTTAATTTGCAAGAAGTTTACGCATTAAGTATTCCAGATTTGGGGTTTACCTTCCTGCTTACCTTCTTAGATTTTTGTACCAGAACAAAACTGTCAGCATCAGCGTTCCCTACTAAAGAGCATTTGTTGTGTTTTGGATATGAACCCAACCTGTAAAAAAGGACAAATTGTGTATTTTTTTTTATTAATTGCAAGCCCAGATCTGAAGCTATATATGACAAACTGACCGAAACCCAACGGTTAGATCCCCTTGAGTTCACTAGCATGGGCTGATGGTGCTCTGATTTCCTTGCAAGGCTTCTTAACTAGCTTTACCAGCAAGACTTCTTTAGTAAACCAACTTCAGAAGACCCATGCTGGTCGTCAGGTTTTGCTACAGAGCGGCATGGCTATGTTGACCATGAAAATTGTCGTAATTTGCTCACCCTCATGTTGTTCCAAACCTATATGCTGTTTTATTTATGCCAGAGAATTTTAAAACCCTAACCACATCTGTCAAGCTCCAGAAAGGGCAAAAAAAATATCATTAAAACACCATAAGACTTATATGTCAGTATATCTATGACTTTATATTTCCTTACAACTATATTTCAAGTCTTCTGAAGTCATATGACAGCTTTGTGATGAACAGATAAAAGTTCATTATAAAAAGTCATTATTCTCTGGAAATCTTCCTCTTTTCCACGACTGTCAAATCACATATGGTGCCATAAATGGGGCATGATTTTCATTTAAATTGCCATATGACTTATCTGAAGTCAAAAAATGAAGTTATCATAAAGTCATGAATTCAGATGTCTTGAAATAACATTTATGGAATTTTTGAAGCTCGACAGCTGTGGTTACTTTAAACTGTCCTTTTATCAAAATTTCTTGTTTTGTATTTTCAGTGGGAAAAAAATTACAATATACAGTTATACTCTTAAAAATAAAGGTTCTTTATTGACATCTGTGATTCCTTGAAAAACCTTAAACATCCATGGATCGTTTTCATTGGACAAAAGGTTCTTTAGAGTGGAAAAGGTTTTAAAATGTTCTTTACTCTAAGAAAAAAATGGTTCTTTTAAGAACTGTTCACCGAAGGGTTCTTTGGGGAACCAAACATGGTTCTTCTGTGGCATTGCTGCGAAAACCCTCTTTTGGAACCTTAATCCTTAAGAGGGTATGGAACAACATTATGGTGGGTGAATAATGAAAGATCTCTAATTGTTGACTGAACTGTTCCTAGCCTCACTAGTTCCTTCATTATCTATGGCAGCGGTCACCAACCTTTTTAAGCCCAAGATCCCTGACCTCAGCCTTTATGAAAGACAAGATCTACCTACTGAAAAATTGATACAAAAAGGCAGCCCAGATTGGGCTCAAATTGGCCAATTCTGATAATGGATGCTGATTTTTTTAAGCAAATTTATTTATTGGTTATTTAAAAATATCTGAAGGCATTTGAAATTAGAGGCAACCACTGCATTTCAATCATGATCCAAACAAAGATGCTACACACGTTGCATGAGCAGTTGTTTTTGATTTGAATTAGATTTACAGGATTTAAAGGGGTCATATGATGCTTTTTTAAAGATCATTATTTTGTGTATTTGGTGTAACAGAATATGTTGACATAAACTTGAAATCGCATCATATGACCCCTTTAAAGCAAAAACAGAATGGTCTGACTTTAGCTTTGTAAAATTATGCTACATAAGTCTGCAGAAAGCAGAAAGTCTGAATGAGACGCAGTTTCACTCTCTGACAGCAGGTGGCGCTTATGGAACAGCAGCCATACAGCGTTTCCTTGGTTGCAGCTATAAACAAAGACGTGCTAAGCAAAGAGATATGCTGCGTCCCAATTCACATACTATGCATCCTAAATAGTATTCAAAAATAGAATTAGTATGTCCCAAATCATAGTATGTTTAAAAAAGTATGCCAAAGATTCCCGTTATGCTATACTACTTCCGGTTAGAATTCGAAGTGCAGATCGATGCCCACTCTACAGCAGTTTCACTCTCTGACAGCAGGTGGCGCTTATGGAACAGCAGCCATACAGCGTTTCCTTGGTTACTGCTGTAAACAAAGCAACTGTGCTTATAAATACTACTTTACATGGAGGTAAGAGGAGAAGAAAATCCCATTGCCATCGAAACTTTTCTCACGACAGTCAATTCCCTTCAGTGATACATTCATATTATAACCCCTCACCCCCAATTCAATATTTATATTTTCTTCCAATATTTCAAGCAACATGAACAGTGATCTTGCTCTGCCTGCTACAGTATTTTCTCCGCTTTGCATCAGTCTTCGGCATATCTGGCCTCAGTTAACGACCTGTTTTCAGACTCAGGCATGATGTATTTTTCTTTGTCACTGTCCCAGTAGCTCCCAAAAAATACAGAAAAATAAGTACAAAAAAATACAGTACAAAAAGTGCAATGTAATGTATTTTGTACTTATTTTTCATTTATTTTCAGGATCTACTGGAATAGTGATAAAGATCTACCAGTCGATCGCGATTGACAGGTTGGCGACCACTGATCTATGGTATTGTTTTTTCCAGGAGGATGCCCATGGAGGACTACCCGAACCAGAACTGGGCCAACCAGAGAGACCCTGTCCACTACCCCAACCCCATCTACGAGACCCATCAAGACAACTATCCTCCACGCTCTCCCCGGTTGCCTGTACCCAGACCCGCGGAGGCCACGGGTGGTTACTACCCCACATCTCCAGCCCAACAGAGGGGTCCCATGAGGCAGGATGTCCCTCCCTCTTTGAACCCAGGTGCCAAAGCCCCACCGCAATACGAAACGCTAAAACAAGGGAACTATCGGGCGGCCAGTCCTGATCGTTACGGGCCATACGGAGATGAACAATACCAAGATCCCCGGCAGAAAAAACCAATGATTGGAGCCGTCTAGAGGAGGAGGATGTAAACAACAAAACGGGCTAAGTTACACAAATAGCTGATCCGATATCAAATTCTCGAACTGTTTTGGCTTTTGTTGTCATGCCTTTTCTTGTATCTTAGGTCGAGGTTTTTACATTCTTGGCATTTGTTTTCCCATTCAGCCATTCTATCGTAGTGCTGCATGAAATACTGCCCCCTAGGTGCAATACACAATGCTCTATGCACAGGGCTCTTGTAGTGCATAATCGTTGTTGTTGGATCATTGCTTTAAAGTGCACCTATTATGCCCCTTTTTACAAGATGTAATATTAATCTTGAGTGTCCCCAGAATGTGTATGTGAAGTTTCAGCTCAAAATACCCCACAGATCATTTATTATAAAATGTGGAAAATGTCTTTTTTGGGGCATGTCTAAAAAAGAGCTGTTTTGGTGTGTATCACTTTAAATGCAAAAGAGCTGCATATTCCCACCCCGTCTTCAGAAGAGAGCATGGTGTATACATCTCTGCTTTGCATACATACAGCAATAAACAGTCGGTAGAAGCAACATGACTGAGAGCGAGAGAACCGGTGTTCAGCCGTACATGTATGAACCAGAGTCAGACACAGATGAAGAAGAGACTCCGGCAGAAGAAACTTGAAAGAATGAAATGACACACACACACAAATACGGTTAAAATGTTAGCTAAGCACTATAATTACATGATTTTGAGGCGCATTACCTTTAAAAATAAAAGTAATCCACTGCGTCCTCAGTGGCTCAGATGTTGGGAGAAAATGAAGACTCTTATGTTCAGTCTTACATCCAAATACAGAACATCGGGATTACTTACGAGACATTGTTGACATTACAGCTGCTCGAGCGCAGTGAAAATGACTGTCAGTCAGCGGCCGTGGGCGGGGCCTAAACAATGTGACGTCACATTGCTCAGAAAATCAAAACGGCATGCCTAATGAGACTGGTTTGGTTTAATGGGGATTAAAAAATAAGGAGTGGGTGGATTTTTATCATTGTAGGGTGGTTGTGTTCACACACTGCAAACACACATTTATGCCCAAACACCATGTAAAAGTGGGTTTTGCGTAATAGGTGCCCTTTAAAAACGAGACTTCCTGATATCCTTGGTTTGTAAAATTATCTGTTTGTTGTAGTTAGGAGATATGTTGCCAGTCAAAACAGGATCCTGCAAGAACCAACTTAGAAAACGAACTTAATGAATTTTTGCACCCACTTTGTTTTTTTGCACATTTAACGCCCGAATGAAGAGGTTTACAGGAAAATGGCCAGATAGATACTGAAGATACTGAGAATACATGAAGTTTTGTTGATTTTATTGGTAAGATTTTACGTTATACACATATGTTACTCTATAGACTTTACAGTACGTATGGATAATCAATCGGTGTTCAACCTTGTGTCTGTCTTGTCATTGAAAAGTTGATTTTAATTTCTATATTTTCATATCACATTTTTCATTTAATGTTTATGGAAAATCTACTATCTTTGTGTTGATTTTTATTTTACTTGGATTTTATTGGATTTTATTTGTATGTTTTTATTTAATCGTTTTATACTTGTTTTTCTGTATCAACAGCTTTTAAAGGATTTTTTTGTCAATTTATTTTGAAATTTAACAAAAAAGTGACCAAATACTGTGCAATTTTACTTATTTAGCCATTTGTACATTTAAATTCGTTTTTTTTTTGTTTTTTTTGCTCTTTTTGTTTGTTTATTTGTTTTTTTGCTCTTATATTTTTATGAAAATCAAGATGCTGGTCTGCATAACTTGTGAAATCAAATAACATGCATAACAATACAATTTGTGGTATTGTTTTTATTTTTAAAGTTGGGCAAATGTTGTATTAAATGGAAAGAAGTGTGTGTTGCCACTACACACGCCATAACCAACAATTAATCTAGATGTTATAGGCCTACATTTTTGGGGTAAATAATATGGCTATGACATCAATTCAGATTGATTATGACATTTTGGTACTTTTTTATTTTAAATTAAATTGTGTACGTTTTTTTGTAAATAAAGTGGTGTTTTGGTTAGTGACATGTTGATGATGACTTCAGTGATGGCGTCCCACAGTAAAGCTGTTTGGTATTCATTGTGCTCTTGTACAGTCGTATAACTTCATACTCCTAATGATGACTGAGAGAACCTCTTATTTAACATTACTGATAATTACTCCTGCTGATTAGTACTAATTTATCCTCTACCAATTAAGCTACAGAGGGCTGCACTGAAGTTATTAGGGCCTAATGGACCTATTTGGGAATTCTTGCTGATTGGGAAATTTGGCATTAAAGTGTTTGCATATATCTGGACAGAATTTCAGTTTAATTAACCCATGGATGACAAGAGAGAGTTGTTAGATGGGAATAAATGAATTGTGAGAGCACTGTCGAACAAAAGGTTGATAAAAAATGAAAAGAGATATAATAACTGTGATGTCAGTTTAATCTTCGTTATTTAGGAAGAAGACCACCACTCGTGGATATTATGAGCCACAGTACATTTTAAAAAGGCCTTATCATGAACAGTATTTTCTTGCTCCTTTAAAATATACTTTGTATTAATATACTGTGTAGACTTATGCTAAATCGTTGTAAAATGTATAAGAAACTAGTATTTGTTTTGCAGGCCTAATTATCAAAAGAAAAGTTTTTTTTTTTCAATGCATTGAATGTATTATATTTTAGTTTGATCATTTTTATTTAATATTTTGCATTTTTAGGGGATTTTATGGTACTATCTCGTATCTTTCCTCTCATATCTATCCTTTTATTGATATATAGTTAGATATATGATTATAGTTAAAAAAAAAAATTCCTGTTTTCATTTTAAATGTAACGTTTTAGTAACATTTTGTCATTTTTATTAGTTTTTGTTTTTATTTAAATGTCTATTTTTATTAAGTTAAACATTAACTAAAAATAAACTAAAAATTACAGTATACAATATGCATGTATATATATATATATTTTTTTTTTTTCCCAGCTAATTGCCAAATGTTTTTTTTTTCTTCCCAGTTAACAATAATTATACTGAAATGGGTGTGTATATGTATGTAGCTTATGGCCCCTTTATTCATATTTAGTACATGAAAGTTTGACTATTAATTTTAAAGTATTGGACTTCTCACTGCAACAAATTTATTTAATATACTAATGATGTGCCATTCCCAACAGGATTCTTAATGGCCTCAAAGCTCCCAATGACTTCACTATGAAAATGAAATGCACATTTCATCCCTCTGTCATCTTGTCCTTCACCGTCATCACTCGTTTATTTCAATTATGTCCCCTCCTTTCATTGGCGAGTCTCGTATCCGAGCTAATCTGGCCAGTTGAGTGGATTTTGCTCATTTCATTATGCTGCCATTATAAGAGACTCCAGTGAGACGTTATCAGCGGAGCCTCAGAACGGACCAGCTAGAGCGTTTGAAAGAGGAAAGCACTGACCTGCCCTTCACCTGCTTTAAATATTGCACGTAAGTGCCTTCAGTCACTACTATGTCATGTAATTGCTAAGAGCACACCTGTTTTATAGCGAGCATGAAGACATTTGGCCTGCTTTTGACTCATAAATCTAGTGGTCACTAAAATAGTAGTCTGCTGAACATCTCCAATCCTTCTGCAATTCTGACACTGTGCAAATCCTGTCCAATCATCAGTATTGTATAAACATGCAGGAGTGTCAATGTTTTGCTAATGCTCAGACTAACTGTTCTTCCATGTGTTTTTGTTCAGGTTCCCAGAATTCCTCGGTCTTAGCCTGCAGATGCATACAGTAAGTTATCAAATTTTGTGCACACACACACACATGTATATACTGTATTTTATGAAGGGCCAAGCATAGTTATAATTCAAAATAATGTAAATCTGAATATATAGTTAGATCTAAAAGTATATATTCAAATGTGTATATGTAAATCATGAATACACAGTGTGTGTGTGTGTATGTGTATGTGTGTGTGTGTGTGTGTGTGTGTGTGTGTGTGTGTGTGTGTGTAGTGTGCGTGAG